ACAGAGGTTTTAAGGTTGAGGCTCTTAGTCAGTTTTACTGATTCACCTGCTATCTAATTACTCCAGTCCATACACCGTTGGCCCAGGAAGACATGCTCATTCAGTTCACAGAAGAGCTCCCCAGGCCCTGCCTAAACTTCTCTGAAATCAGTTGAGTTAATGCATTATGAAAGATTGTGCTTTGCTACAGACAATCTTTATTTTAAGTAATGAAAAACTCTGGAAGTCATACTGTTGAGTCACTATAAATGATAATGAATTATAAGTCTCACCATACAGTTGGTATATAGAAAATACCACCTTTCTTACAGCCACGATGTAAACTGTTTTATTTCATTCCCAGGTCGGCCAGAGCTGTCCATTTGGACATCACAAGACGTGTCTCCCGCCTTGCATGTTTAAGCAAATGTTATATTACTTAAACACGATACATTTTGGTTTTTAGCCAATCACATTGCAGAGAGCTCTTTAACTATTAAATCAAGATAGTTTAATGTGAATAAAATTTCAGTATTAGAAAATAGAGCAGTCTTTAAAAAAGAATACCCTACGCATTAGTGAACAATCTCTGTTTCCTTTATGAAGTTCTACAGTTACGTATGTCAGAGCCTTGACACACTTGTGCTTATAGACCCGTAAATGTGCGCAGCCTAGAAAGGAGCCTCCACGACGGCTTTACATGTGATTCCAAGTACTCAACGCGTCCACTGTTTGGCTCCAGGTCTTTAGTGAGATCCTGAGAACTTGCTTTCTGGCTTTTTCTTTTTTCCCCCTTCCCAAGAGAACAAACAGGCTATAGTTTGAGCTGGTAGTAACTCCAAGCATTTGTATTAATGTGCGCTCAGCCACAGCCTGGGCTCTGCCTGGTTGCTTTATCCATAGTCCAGTGTGTATCTGTCTGCATTTTCCTGTTCACCGTCTGGGAAAACTAGATGTGACTCGTAGGAGAGGAAGCACCGAAGTTCTCTCTCTGCTTAATTATTTCAGGTATAATCGAAGAAGTAAGCCTATGGTGTGTTCTCGGCTGTAATACAATGGAGTTGTCCGTAGCCTGGACACAATCCATCTGTGTTCATTATTCTTCCAGAGGAGTCTCTATTCCAGATAAAGTTCTACTAAGTATTAAATTGGTTCAAGCTGATAAATCTTAATTCTTTAAAAACAAAATTAAGGCTAATATCCTTATATCTTGTTGGAAATACTCTTTTATGCTCTAAAAGTTCTTGCTGCAACTATTGTAAGGAGATATTGCTCAGTGCACAGTCCCAGCAACCTCCTTGTTAGAGAGGCGGTGTGGTGCAGTGGTTAGAGAAAGGACTCTGGAGCCAGACCAGCTGTTTGGGTTCAGACTCTGATTCTGCTTCCTCCTAGAGTTTAACCTTGAACAAGTCATTTAACCTCTCTGTGCTTTGATTCCCCATTTGTAAAATGGGGATGACAATATCAGTAATTACCTCTGAAGATTGGTGTGAGGATTAAATGAGCTTTTCTGTTCTACTACTGAGAGGAGTACTTAGCACTTAGTAAATAACACTTATAGATATTTTTATAGCTGTTCCTATCCAAAGCCTTTGCACTTGCTGTTCTTCTATCTGGAATGTTCTTTCAGACATTTGCATGCAATGCTCTCTCACTTCAACTGCCACTCTCCAGAGAGGCCTTTTCTGACCATCTTTTTCAGTCTTTATCCCTATTTACTGCTTTATTTTTTTTAATAGCCCTGATCACCATTAAACATTATATTTTATATTTATTTTATCTTTTGAAGTCTCTATTTCTTTAAAAAGAATGTAGTCTCAGTAAGGGCTTCTGTGTTGCCTGTATATCCCTAGGGTCGAGAACAGTGTCTGGTATATACCTGATAGGTGCTCAGCAAGTACTTGGTGACTGAATAAATGAATAAATTATTATAAAAGGCTGTTTACGTTAAAATGCATTTCTGTAGATATATGGATCTTTCTATCAAACTCCCCAGAGAGCAAAATAATCACAATTACTTCAAAATGAACTAGATCCTGGTTTTAGGATATGCTTGCAATGAATTGAAGAACGCTGCATCCGTACCCAATACTTAGGGGTGTCTATAGTGAGCCACAACATCAGCCTGACCTTTCCATTTGACTGCTCAAGCTCAATTTTGTTTTCCATATACATGATGTTTAATATACACTTGAAACAGGAAAAGAAATGATAGAAGTTTAAAGATGGAAGACATTTCTTCACACACAAAGATGACAACACTTTCTATCACTGGTAAAGAAAGAGTTTTTTAACTAGTAATCGCTTAGTATGCATTTTTTTTCAGTATTACTACTGAAAGTGCTTTCTCATTTTCGATTTTGAATAATTCAACAAAGACTTGTTGTTTAAGCTACTGCTTTGCTTTGGAACATACCTCAGGGAGAATAGCCAAAGGCTCTTCAATCTAAGCAGGTTAAGTAAAAATGGAAATGTCAGAAAAGTGGAAGACATCCTAGTCCACCTCAGAATCGTACTTGCTTTGATACTGTTATTTCAATACTTTTAGATAAAAATAAATTGACTTTGCCTTTTGAAACCTCATTTAAATACAGATGGCAGTGCCATAAAGATAAAAGAACAAATATTTCCTGTTTCTTGAACCTTTATCATGTGTCATTATGCCTAGCATTGAGCAGGAAACAAAGACAAACTGAAGCTCTGTTTTTGAAAAGCTTGTGGTCTGTTTGGAGCAATAAGACACAAAAATGGTAAGAGATCAGAACGGATCAGTTAATCATTTGTGATACCAAAATTCAAATGAAGCAAAGATTGTGAGTAGTTATGGTCAAAGAAGGACTTGAAGAGAGGATCATGCTTTGGCCAGGCATTAAAGGATGAAAAGCATTTTACTAGATAGCTTGGAAGGAGCGGAAGACATTCGTGCATGAAGAACAACCTGAGCAAAGATAAAGATGGACAAATTAGCATGGTCGAAAGGCCAGAGCAGATTGTTTGAACCTGGGTTCACCCAATGGCCAGAACATGTTTTACCAGTTTGTTGATACCTTATAAATATCCTTATAAAAATCCTTTCTCCAGCTAGATCCCTCCACCTCTCTATTCAAGTTTTCCAATGAACACTAGGCCTGCACTTTAGTAAGTTAGCAAGTATTTAACTTTAAAAAAAAATACAGTATATTTCTATTCATATTTGGCTAGAGGACTTTTGCTCATAAATAAAAGAAATTCACCCAAGGTAAATCTGTAAAGAGAGGGACTCCTGTAAGGATACAACAAGGAACGCGTGGAAATAAAAGGCGAGCAACCAAGATACAAACGAATCTGTGGCCAGATTGCTTTTAGAAGAATTCAGTATGAGAAAGACTCATCCTAGACCTCATCAATCAAAATCTGATGACTATAATAGAGTAAAAATAGCACTGATCTGAGAATTCAAAGATCTGGATTTGAGTTCTAGCTTCCACACCAACTAACTGAACAAATTTCTCAGCCCAATGGTTCCCTTGTGGTTATGAGAGGGATAATAATATCTGCCCTGAATAGGGGATAACGTGTATGAAAGTCCTTTGTAAACCATGAAACGCTCTACAAGAATATGGTTGTAAGATAACATCACCTAAACCGTTTGGTCCCTTATTAAGAACCTTTCATGAAACCAAATGATAGAGTCTCTGATGTACACAGATCTGATAAATAAGGCAACTTATTTTGACCAGTAGTATAGCTATCAAGATCTTCTTTTTCCGTTACATGTAACCAATATGTTAGGATTCGTGAAATCTAATCACAAAGCAATACCATTTTGCCACTTACTGTTTCTTTATAATTTGTTCAGAAGTCTTCTGCTCCTGCATAAAACCTTGGCAAACCTCGTGACACTTCTAATCACTCTTAGGAAACAAAAAGTCTAGTGGTTGCTTTAAATCACAAAGATGGTCTCAATTCAATTATGTAAAATTCCAGTCCCATGGAATTGTCAAAGTTGCTAATTTTCTTCAGTTAAAACCGCTGCCCTTGCCACAACAAGGACATCCTAAGGGCTGAACCTTGCACACAGGAAAGAGGGTGTGGTTAGCTTCTTTTTCCCTGTCTCTTTTCACCTCTGTTACCTAATCTTTGTTTCTGGTTCTCCAGGGCTGGAACACTGTGAAGTGAGGGAGAATAGGGAAGAGAGGCAGGAAAGTCCTGGCATATTTATTTAATTGGTACTGTCATAAGTTGGCTGCTCTCCTCTGGAAAGTTGCTTATTATTTATTTGCACAGTCTCTAGTGATTCAGGAGTGCTTCACTTTCTCTCTGTTGAAGCCTGCTGGCTTTTCTAAGAGATTCTAGTGCACGAGAGCTGGAATCATCTCATTCCAGCTCTCTCTTGCATGATGCTCCAGAAACATCAGTGCACACTTTGACTCAGCAGACTTTTAAAGTGCTGATTTACCCAACCAAACCCAACCACCTCTTCTAGCCTGCTGTTAGGGTAGCAAGCCAGCCCATCTCTCACCTTTTAGGTTTTTCAAATGGGAGTCAGCACCAGAACTCTTTGTCCCCCGACCCCCAACCCCAACTCCAGGGGGTACATATCTAGCTGTCTCGACAGCACAGTTACAGCCCTCTTTCTCACATTCTATCTCTTGCTCTCTCTCTCTCAAAAAAAATAATAAAATAAAATAAGATAAACAACCTTCCCTTTTCTAAACTTCTTCATTTTTCTCTTTCCCTGATTATTTATACCCTTGACACGAGAAGATTTCAAGAGCTGCCCAGCCTGTTCTCAGCTACGTCGTTCCACAAGTTCTACAGTGTTTTCTGTCTTTCAGCTTAGATATCTGATATCTTAGGGTCTTCTCTAAAACTTCCATTTTAGCAAAATGATCCATCAACCTTTTAAAAAATGATTTAAATAAATGAAAATCACAAAAAAGTCATAGTTTACTTGCATTTTCAATGTTTAGCCAATGCTAACTAAAGTTATATTTAGTTACTATAAATAACTAAACTAAAGCTATTTTACTTTACTTTACCTGCAATTCCAGTAAATCACCTGCAAGTGGATGGTGGTGACTGAGCTGTAACTTCATTGTTAAAAAATCCAGGCTTGTTGGTGTACATTCTGCTCTTCTATTAAAAAAAATAGTTAATACTATATTAGGACCATTGATCTGACTCAATCGCAATTATTCATGTTAGCAAAACACATTTTAAAGAGTGATATGGTTTAGAAATTTGAGAATAATTTCTAGGTAAACTATTAAACCTTTCTCACTTACCATGGAGTTAACATGACACCATCCTCGTTTATCCCCATAAACCTTAGCAGCATCTAATAATTAAATTATTCTCAACTTGTTATCTATTTGAAAGCCTATAAAGCTGCAACCCCCTTTAGCAAACTGTTAGAGCAATTGGTAGTGAAACAATGTAGGAGGCAAATTGGTTTGGAGGAAGTCATAAGCAAGTCTTTAAAAGACCTTGAAAGTTCACTTTCTATTATTAATGTTTATAAAATAATTGAGATAGCACATTAAATAGAAAACTTTAATTTGTTATATATTCAAAATTGGTAATAATGGATGGTATATAATTAATTTTTATTTATCACTTATATCAAGATGTCTTTTGGAGATGATGATACATCACTGATAATGGCAGTAGAGGTGGACACTAGATTTTCCTAGAAAGTGGACTTTCAGTTTTTTTCAAACTCATGTATTTCCACATGCTCAGTGTTTCCTGAGTGTGAGTCTGAAAATTCATGTGTTTGCTTATGGATTTGTCAGGACTACTCTCTATTTAAATGGATTGTCTGATCTAGGATATTTCCTCCCTTCTCTTGGAGAAATTATGAAGTCTAGGCTGAGTGGATTTTTCACACTTAGGAGCATAGCAAATTATTCCAGCATTTTTATTTGTCTTATTTTTATACTTTCCTCATGGTGGTCTACTTGGAAAGAGGCAGTCCATTTTGAATCAATAAATCAAATTAAATAAGTAAATAAATGCATACTTGACTAAATGGCCACACATGGACACTTGTTCTCTCTATTAATTCAGACTTGTAACAAATATTATTATTCAGTATAATTGCTGGATAGCTTGTGTTTAGGCAAATACTGTGATTTAAAAGGTTACTATAATAAAATGAATTCTAATAAGGAAAAAATGTCAACCTTAGGCAAATTTAAAGTTTGAATCAACAGTGTCTTCTGATTATTTTTTAAGGGAAAATGCTTTAGGCAAAAGAAATAAACTGAGTATAAGTGAGAAAAAAAATACAGTATATGGGATGTAGAAATACCTCATAAAAATCTACAGATTTATCAGATATCTAGTACAACTCTTTTGCTGACATGAGTCATGTGCTGGCCTGCCAGGGTGAATTCCAGATGTCCTCCACCACAGCCTACTGATAAAGAATTAGAAAAATGATTAACCACACCTATTTGGGAACATATGGTGGCAATGAGGATCTTTATGTTTTAGAAACAAAGTGATAGGACTTTTTTCCCCAGTTGTATGAGGTATTCACTGGGTGGTATCCTGTATTTCAAGACTAGCATTAATTTGCTTGGGAAAACAGCATGTTGGTAACAACACTGGAATATTAATATCTTTTCCTGCTGTTCTGAAAGAGACATCTGTGGTCTAGTTCACTGATTTGGTCATAGAAAGTCATATACAACCTCAGTTTTCCTTTTAATATAAGGGACACTTTATATTTCTCTGACCCACTCACAGAAAATTAGCCATTCCCAGCATGTCATAATGACCATTTCCTATTTTATTTTCTGTCATGGTGTTATCACCATCAGATGTAATATATATATATATATATTTCTTTGTATGCTTTTTCCTATGTTTCCTGTGTCTCAGGTATTGATGTCAGATTCCAGCTGTGGTCTCAGAGGAAGTTTTTATTTTTTAGTTTCTCTCCAATAACTTAGCTTAGGAAAGGGTTAGATTAAAAAGAATCGAGAAAAAGCAGTATCCACTTGAATGTAAGTTCCAGTGATCAAGGACTTTTTGTGGCTGTGGTTGTTCACTGCTCTACTCCTGGAGCCCTGAACAGTCTCTGGCATGTAATAGATGCTCAGTAAATATTCATTAAATGAAAGAGTGGAGATAATAATGCTTGTCTTATGGATTTGTCATGAGGATTAAACTAAAGATTGCATGCAAAAGCACCTAACCCAACACCTCGTGTGGGATATGGAATCCAAAACCCCTAAAAGGGCTCATATGACAACCAGAAATGCTGAAACTGACTGTTAAATGTATGAGCTTCAACCCATAACCTGGGACATAGTGTTTAAGTGCATGTTTTAAATATATTCAACTTCTGAAAATTATATTCGGCATCCTTGTTTTTATGATGTGTGAATTTATTTACAATGATGAGAACCTTGTTATGATTTCATTAGCAATTGGCCTTATGTTTGGCTTATAAAGCCTTTTGTATAAAAGATGGAAGAATATCCCAAACATTATATCTAGCCATATACTGAGAACTACTAGTGTCTTCATTTGACCAGTATCTTGGGACTGTTTTTTGATAATGATTATGTCTAAACTATAGAACAAACTTTCTGGCTTTGGTTTTTTTGTTTTGTTTTGTTTTTAATTAATCTCAAGGAAGGCCAGAGACAGTGCTCCACTTGGAACATAAAGCAAATGTGAGTGTTCACAGCAGGGTCTCTGGAGTGAGTTTTTAGGAAGATTCAAGAAAGGGAGTTACAAAGAAGAAGACGATATCCGATTTTAGCGTCTGCGGTAGCCTGATAGCCTCTCTATTTTCTTGAACCTTTCTCCTCAAAAAGATGCATCTTAGAATCTAATTTTCCAAAATTGCATTGTAGTCGCATTTATTGTATGGATTGTAGTGTTTTGTGCTCTGTTTTGTTGATGGCGTTGAAATGCTAGAGAAGCTCCACCATATTTCTGTACAAGGTGTCTATAAGCTGATGGCCATGCTGCTCTTGGTCTATCAGGAGAGTCTAGCTTTTACACCCAGCATTTTAAATATCTTGTGTCTCGTTGAAGATGTCTTTGTCACATTCCAGTTGTAGTTTAGGAAGAATGTTTATTTATCAATAAAGAACAAATTTACGTTGAAAACATAGGGGGAGAGCAATATCAAAGGGCTCTTCTCTGTCCAGAAATATTGCTGCTTCAGCGTTCTTCAGTTTGCTACCTTTGTCCAATGTTAGTGCTTTCTTCAGTTGTTAAGTTTTGATTAGTTTCAGGCCAATAACGAAAAGTGGAATTTTTCGAGGGGTGGTGAATTATTTTGCCTCTACTTCACTTCCCAAGCCACCTCCACTCAGCTTCGATCCAATGCATCATATCTTGTCATTTTCATCGGGATGAGGGGTCCTGAGAAGAGATCACTAGTTCAGTAACTGCCTCCTTCGTGATGCAGCTGTGATTTCTGGATTGTGTGGGGTTCTTTTGAAATTCTTAGATGGCAGCTCTCTTGAGCTTTCCTCCATAATTATCCTTCACATAGACGGTATTGAAGGAGTTGTGAAATGATATGTCTCCTTTTCGCTCTGGAACTTTTTTCTAAAATGAGTAAAATACACAGTTCATATATCTTTGGACAATCAAGCCTGTGTTTCAATTCTATGTGGTTATTAATTCTGGTCCCTACCCTCTTCCCCCCAAATCAGGGCATATACACAAATCCTTGGCCTTGAAAGTTTTATAGCCCCAGAAGGACAAAGATTAATCATAATTATGTTATCTTCCTGAAAATCTCAAGCCGTGCTTCCCTTTTTAAGAGCACAGATGATTCCTGAACCAACAGGAAACAAAGCTGAGAAAGTTTTGAGCATTGCCTTTCTTTGCCATTGTCCAGGAAAGGGAGTAATGCTCTCCCACGACCGTCCAACTCATTTTCCTAGCAGGTCACTTAAGTAACAAATGTTCTTCTTGATTCTCTTCTCATTTCTTAATAGGCAAATATGATTTCACCATCCAACTCCCCTGCACACAATAACTCACTTCTTCCTTTGAGCTCCCACCCCTTTCCAGGTGGCTGTGCTATCACACGTAACACATTGCATTAAGATTTGGCATGGGCCTCTCCTCCACGCCAGATTCTGATCTTCTCCAGGTCAGGAGGCATGTATTATTCATCGCTGAATGCCCAGAGCTTAGCAAATAGCACGCACATAGCTGTTGTTTAATAAATTCATGTTAAGTAAATGAATAGCAGTCATGAGAAAGTCAATACTTGGAATTTCCATGAATAGAAGAGCAAGAACATTGTCGTTACATGACACAGTAACCATGTCACTTTCATATTGGAAAGAGTTGTGCTTTCCTTAAACTATTGTGTGTGTGTGTGTGTGTGTGTGCCTCTGAAACATTTCCTCGAGAGAGCACACTGGCATGAATATATAGCCCATTTTTAGCAAATAGCACTTTAGTAGCCCACTCCTGATTCAGCCTTAATTATTTTTTGTTTGCCTCATTCCTCTCATTTTTGTTTTATCTTATGTAAAGTATACATCTTTGTAAGCTACTTAAAACACTTAAAAGAATATCAGTTAAACTTGAGTATTTTATAGAAATAATAAAGAAGCATAAGGAAAGTCCAGTACCTCTTTGCTGAGAAGGAAAGGGGAAAAGCCATCATGAGGATGCTATTTACTGTTACCCAGATATTGAGATAACATGATAGGAACCTTTGGCAAAGCTGCCTCAACTGCCAAAGACAGTGGCTTCCTGGTACAGTAACATAGCCGTGCAGATAACAGCTGGATCACGGTAGAGGAGGCCGGTGCAATGGTGTGTGCTCCCTTACCCTTCAAAACAGCAGCTGTAGGCAAACACGTCCCTGAGCAGTTAGGTAATCTATAGCCCAACATAAAGATTTAATCACACCTCGCCTTTCTATGAATTTAAATCTGGGATTTAGTGGAGACAATTTTGGATTACCTTGGCAGAACCAAATGGAGATTGAAACACATTTTTTAAAGATTTTATGTCTTTCTTGCCTCCAAATGACTGAACATTGACCCAGAGCCTTTGCATTTAGGTCACTGCTGTGGGTGTTCAAGGAAATGCTTGCTTTTCTTAGAAATGGTATTAGACACTGGATTAGAGGTGATAATGAC